AAACATCTTTCAAGCTTTTCTAGTGTTCGCCCCCTGCACTAGCCATTGTAATTTCCTGCTTTCAATCAATTGTAATTTTCAAGCTTTCTAGCAATCAATGATCAAGTTTTATTCAATGCATTTCAATTTCGTGTTGTAAGCTTTCTTTAAATTGTGATCAAATTTACTTTAGTCCCGGAACGACCGAGAAAAGGCGGAAGGTAGTCTAGCGAAGCAGACTACTGTTGCACGGCGTCCCTTTCTGTGCTAAGAAGAAAGGTAACCCGTGAAACCAGGGCAGGTTTGTAAGTTGAAACGCAGTTTGTATGGATTAAAGCAGGCTTCTCGGCAGTGGAATACTGAGCTATGTGTTAAACTGCAGGATTATGGCTTTCATCAGTCTGCTCATGATCATTACTTGTTCACCAAACATCACTCCCAGAGGACTCTTTTTATGCTGGTCTATGTAGACGATGTCCTCATCACGGGTTCGCATGAAGAGGATATCCTTGATGTTAAAAATTACTTAGATCGTGCCTTCACTATCAAAAACTTGGGCTTTGCTAAATATTTCTTGGGTCTGGAAATTGCTCGTAATGAGGATGGCATGTATATTAACCAGAGGAAGTATGTTCTTGATCTCATTCGCGATGCTGGTCTCCTTCGGGCCAATCAGTTCCTGTTCCCATTCCAAAAGGCACAAAGTTATTGCCTGCGGCTGGTCCCTTGTTACCTGATCCAAAACGATACAGAAGGTTAGTTGGGAGGTTGCTCTACCTGAATCTTACCAGACCTGACATCACTTATGGAGTCCAAAAGTTAAGCCAGTTTGTTCATGCTCCTTGTCAAACAATGCATTTCAATTTCAAATTGTAAGCTTTCTTTAAATTGTGATCAAATTTCTTTTCGTTCTGGAACGACCGAGAAAAGGCGGAAGGTAGTCTAGCGGAGCAGACTACTGCCGCACGGCGTCCCTTTATGTGCTAAGAAGAAAGGTAACCCGTGAAACCAGGGCAGGTTTGTAAGTTGAAACGCAGTTTGTATGGATTAAAGCAGGCTTCTCGGCAGTGGAATACTGAGTTATGTGTTAAACTGCAGGATTATAGCTTTCATCAGTTTGCTCATGATCATTGCTTGTTCACCAAACATCACTCCCAAAGGACTCCTTTTCTGCTGGTCTATGTAGAAGATGTCCTCATCACGGGTTCTCATGAAGAGGATATCCTTGATGTTAAAAATTACTTAGATCGTGCCTTCACAATCAAAAACTTGGGCTTTGCTAAATATTTCTTGGGTCTAGAAATTGCTCGTAATGAGGATGGCATGTATATTAACCAGAGGAAGTATGTTCTTGATCTCATTCGCGATGCTGGTCTCCTTCGGGCCAAGTCAGTTCCTGTTCCCATTCCAAAAGGCACAAAGTTATTGCCTGCGGCTGGTCCCTTGTTACCTGATCCAGAACGATACAGAAGGTTAGTTGGGAGGTTGCTCTACCTGAATCTTACCAGACCTGACATCACTTATGAAGTCCAAAAGTTAAGCCAATTTGTTCATGCTCCTTGTCAATTTCATTGGGATACTGCTTTACATCTCCTTCGTTATCTCAAGGGTTGTCCCTCCAAAGGTCTTTTCTTCCCAGCTTCAAATTCCTTTCCTTTAGAGGCTTATTCTGATGCTGATTGGGGCTCCTGTCTTGAAACACGAAGGTCACTAACTGGTTTTTGCATCTTTTTGGGTTCGGCCTTAATATCCTGGAAGACAAAGAAACAGACCACTGTCTCCCGCTCTTCTGTTGAGGCCGAATATCGGAGTATGGGCAGCACTGTCTGTGAGTTACTATGGATCTCCTACATCTTATCCGATCTTCGTATTTCCTTGGTGACACCTATTCCCTTATGGTGTGATAACAAGGCTGCGTTGCACATCACAGCTAACCCTGTTTTTCACGAACGAACCAAACATCTGGATATTGACTGTCATGTTGTTCGGAATCAATACAAAGCTGGTTTTATCTTTCCTCAATTCGTTCCTTCCCATCTGCAGCTTGCGGACCTCTTCACTAAACCTCTCGCATCTCCTCAATTTGGTTCTCTTCTCTCCAAGTTGGGATTGGGAGATCTCCACCAATTCCAACTTGAGGGGGGGATGAAAGAATCACTGAAGTAGAGAGATTCGGTTGGAACTCTGTTGAATGAAGAAGTTCATGCTGATAACATTGCTTTACCGGAAACACCAGAAATACCTTTTAGTCGTGTTTTACCTTATTACGTTTTTGTTATTTCTGTTAGCACGTTTACTTCATTGTTGTGTTGTCACTTTCTCATTAGTTTACATCTTTAGCTTGCTCTATATATATTGCAAGTGTACTCCGTTTCTTCCCATGATCGGATGAATAAATAATTTTAATTACTCAAATTACTCTGTTAGCTGCTTTTATCAAAACTTGTTATCAATCATGATGTACATGTAGCATGATTGATTAAATATAAGGGTAAAATCATCCATCTGAATGAAATCTAACTAGGTATTTAAAGATAAGGGTAAAATTGTCCACTTGGGACCTAAGTGCTATCAAAATAAAAGGTTTGAGGATGTAAATGACACTTTTTTTGGGTTGAGAGCAAAAGTCTAACAAGTGATAAAGGTTGGGACCTTACACTGATATTTAACAAAAACATTACAAAATTTCCTTTGCTTGTTACACTCCCACCACATCTCTTCGATATCTAACTTTCTACACACAAAATCAAAACAAAAATAAACTTAATATCTACCAGTGCTTCCATTTCAGAGAGAACTCGATATTTGAAGTCCAAAATTTGCCTTAAGGCAACCAAAAAGAAAGCTTAGGGAGACAAATTCATCGGTTCGAGGAAACATTGTTGAGCATGGCAGCAGATGACCACATATCAGCCCCATTCGAGTCTGCTACATGTAGAGTGATCTTCAATGGCACCAGACACAAACCTCTGCTTCTTAGATCATCCTTTCGTTTTTCATTACTTCCGCGGATTTCTCCATTCTCCTATATTCATTGAACAAAACAAAAATATTACGTGCTAAAGTTTCTATTCATCATTTGATCCAAAGTTTCGAGTCATGTAAACTATTGATGGTACCAAAAATATATGGATCTAGCCATCTAGACGAATAGAAAAGATCAATCCAGAAGGAAAGACCATTCTTGGACCATGAAGTCAAAACTCAAACGTATGGACTGCACCCAAACAAATGGACTAAGACCCCATTTATCTTACAGAAGAGCTACGTCAGGAAACTAGATTTCAAGCCAGCTTCCCCGTAGAGCACTCCCAGAAAATTATCCAAACATGATAAAAAACAACTTTATGGTTCAAAAATCGTGCCAAATTGGCCCTAAATGGTGCCCAAAGTAACTCCCTTAAATCTATGATGTTGTAACTATAAAGACTCTGCCAAGTTTCTTATGGCTAAAAGCAAAACAAAGAGGCATGAAAATTCTCAAATTTAAATACACGTATAGACGTTCTACCTATCTTTCTAACCATCTCGTCCACTTAGGGGGCTTTGGGGACACTCCTTGGCGCCTTTTTTGTTGAAGGCTCATCGACGAAAAATACTAGAGCCGCCCAAGAACAAACCTCAGACTAGGTATTCAACTACATTACTTAATTATCCTACTCTTGTCCAACAGTCCAAGAAGCATTTGCTGCAGATTTCAGATTTCTATTTAAGCAGTACCTATAGCAGATTGATATCAATACTGAGCACAATAAGGTAAAAACAGGGAGGTTAGTACAAATTTCAGATTTAAAAAAAAATTCTGACAAGAAAAGGTACAACTTACAGTGACGGAGGATGAATGCTGCAAATATGGAGAAGAGAGAACCTGCACCTGATCCTGCAGAAATCTTATGTATCCCAAAGCTTCATGGAGCACTGATGCTGTATCAGTCTGCACCCACCCACCCGCCATGTTCATAAACACACAAGAAAAAGGAGGATTTCATATCAAATGCATTTACTTAAACCTAATTTGATTTGTTTATTAAAGAGGGTGTCAAAAACTGAGGATGAACCTTGCCAAAGGGCGACACAAGTTGTTGCAATGCTGCAATTCTTTCACCGAGTTTCTCTCTCTTCTTTCCCTGTATCATGCATGGAGAAAAAGGTGTTCCAATTACGCATTTAGCATTAATAAATTCACACAGTTAATTAGTGTGTGAGACCTTTGCAGGGCGGGTGATAGTAGAATTTTCTGATTTCGTCTTCTTACAGCTTCCGACAGGAGCCCCAGCATTCGCCTCAGGATTCCTTGAAACGTTTCTCTTTTTCTACACAAGAAAATGAAAAAAAAAAAAAAACAGGATTCCTTGAAACGTTTCTCTTTTTAAAAAAAAAAAAAAAAAAAAAAAAAAAAAAACAGAAATTCAATTTAAAGTTCAATTGCAATAAACCGATAAAAATATTTAAAGTCACAAACAACAACATTGAACTTGGGCATTGTGATAGTGTTGCACGCTTTCGTCGAAGAAGCCGAGGATGAATCGCTGCATGCCAATCCAGATTTACTTTCCTTTTGATAATCACCAAATCGCAGTAACTTCGGAGAGTTACCAGATGAGAAAAATGGTGAAAAATTGAAACACTCATTTGCCTCAAGATTCATAATTTCATCATCACCTAACAGAAGCTGTGAATATCTCCCTTCGGCTACTGGTTCACCCTCAAATGCCCCATTGCTCGCCATTGTTAGACCAAAAGAAAAATTTCTTTTCGTGATTGTATAGGAGTAAACTACGGAAGCTTCTTCTCTTCGAGTTAGCTATGAACTTTGTATCTATTTATGTATATTTTGTATGCAAATCTTGGGATGGAGTAACGGGGAGAGAGGGAGAGAAAGACTTTGGTTTTATCGTCAGAGTCAAACTTTAAAACCATCCCAACATTACCCAAGAAAACAGTGATTTATACATCCAAAGCAAGTGACCCTTCAGTTCCGGACCCGAAACCCGAATTTGTGAAAAATGGATCCGGGCGAACAGGATTTCTGGTGTTTGGCGTGGCGAAACCTGAAACTCAACCACTGAGTCTAACCCATTCGTCCTACATGCATGTATAGCATGGCCTATGGACTTTACGCGTGTTTGTCTATTGATATTAGAGTGCCAAATATCTATAGACAAACAAACGTTACATGCGTTTGTCTATTGAAAAAATGCTTAATTTTTTTATGACGAAAATACAATTTACGCTAAAAGAGACGAATTATATACTTGAATGATCAAATGACCAAATCGTTTCTTGTAAATGATTAAAGTTTTCATATCTAATTACAGAGTCGAATATGAGCATTCGAGTAGTATGGACGAACTTTTAAAATTCAATATAGTTTGGGTTTTTAGTGTTGATTTAATAGCAAGAAAATGAAGGTAATTAAACAATGTTTAATAAATGTGCATTTAGTGGACTGTAAATTTTACGGTTCACTCGTATTAGCGTAGGACCCACTAATTAAAGTGGCTTTTTTTCTTTAGAAATTGTGAGAATTACCAAGAAAGAGGTGGGAGGACGAGAGGACACGTGAGGTTGAAAATAATAATAATTAGAAAGCGTAAGAAATCTGCAATCTAACTGACACAACACATATTTCATAATTTACATGTCATAAATGCCATAGCAGACATCTTTGTTTCATTGTTTCTCGTGTTTTTCCAACACACACCTCGTCTTTCGTCCTGTCATCTCTTCCCGCAATTCAACATTTGACCACTTACTTTCACTACTATTTACATATTAGTCCCCCACCGTCACCATAGTTTTTCGAGCTTGTTCTGCCGCCTTCTACATTTTCTATTTTTCCTTTTTTCTAGTTGGGCGTATGGCTAGAAGTGACACAAACACAATTTGTCTCGTCTCAGCTCCAAGAACGATTGGACTTATTCTTACGACAAACGATGAGTCGAGTCGGACATCTTTTTTTTCACGAGCAGAGCTTGACTCAGCCCACAAGTCAAAAAATCGAACCTAGCCTAATTTATGAAGACAAGTCGAGCACAACTCGCTCATAGGATCAAGCTGAGCTCGGACGTCCACTGATCGGCCCATTGCCTCTAGCCCTCCTCCACCTCTAGCCTCGACAAATGAAATAAAAGCCCAACTTTTCTTTTTCTTTCTTCTCCGGTTAATGCTATTATTCATCTATAGTTTAGATAATCGAAAATTTATGCGATACCATGGACTATTTCAAAACTCAGAAGTACTTGTTTGCAATCCTTTGCATATCGACGTGTTTGAAGTGAAAAAAAAATTATTTTCAAAGGTGATCTAATTATTAATCTACTAGGACAGACCGCATCCCGTCCGTGAATATTTTACCATGCCTGACAAAACTATGCTATTAAGCCACGACCACGAGGATTGTCAAAATACAACATTCGTAGTCATACTCATGCCACTTTTTACCCACGTAATTTCATAAAACATTACGAAACAAAACCTGTCTCTCCTTCCATTCTTCTATATAATTATAATGGAAGTCATCTCATTCTTTTTATTTTGCATTGCAAATTGTCTCAAATAAATAAAATAAAAGTCGCAAAAAAGTCAAAATTTCATCAACATTCCACATAGAAGAAATGAGTCCCTGTTAGTTTACTGGGAATAAAAGCAAACACTTGGTGTGCAAGGTTGACTATCAGATGCCACAAATTCCCTTAAGCTTATTCGCCGCAGCTTCATCCACCGAATACTGCAAATCATCACAAAAATCTCATAATAAGATACAAACGAAATGCAATTGCACAAAGAATAGCAGACTCTACAACATAATTAACAATTTCATTTACTTCATTGACCTTATTGAGGACCCAGAGGGAGTGAGTATAAGTTCGATTGAGGAGTTCTTGAACAGAATTGACGTCATTCGGATCGACCTCTCTGTAATTGACGAAGTTTTCACGTACGTATTTGGCATAGTAAGGCCTTGTGTCCTTCGGCAACCGCCTTACCAGCCTCAGCACTTCCCCATAGGCTCTTAGTGCCTTGTGCATTTCAGTATAAATTCAGATTCGATTTCCAGCTGAATTAAGGGCGAACTCGCTTTTTATCTTGAAATTTTGAGGAGTGAGTTCGATTGCATTTCAGTAAAGAAGTACAAATGGCGGTGTTTTTGGGAAAAACGATAGTGAAGAAAAATGGTCTCGTACTAGGCCCATTGGGCGGAATCAAGTTTACTGCTGAGAAAAAATCATAAATCAGATGTATAATTTACACCAATTCAAAAATCGGGTATAGAGTTTGAAAATTCAAAATTCGGGTATTAGATAATTAATTAAAAATATTTATTAATTAGGTCACAATTATACAATTAATAGTCTCAGATATATAATTATAGGTCACAATTTATTTATTGGTCACATATTATCAAATTAATTAGTCACGGATGATTTCGAGGTCACAAATTCAAAAATTTACGTGTAACGATTAATTTCATTAGTCACATATTTTCAAATTTATTTGTCACGTATTATTTTTCAATCACATATTGTCAAAAATTTTAGGTCACAATTAAATACTTGATCACAGATAACCAAATATTTGGTCAAACACCACCGTCACTAATACCAGATTACTCTAAAATTTACGTGTATACAGGTAACGAGTTTGAAAAGGTAAAGATTATTGGTTCAACTCAATAAATCAGTGTATTTCTGGAGAAATTAACACGAGAATAATGTTATTTATATTTATTGGGATTATCATCACGTTATGACATTAAATACTAGTTACAATAATTTATACAAACAGACAAATGATTCAGCAAATAGGCAAACAACTTTTACGAAAGACGAATCTTGCTTTAATAAAATTCATGATCTGTCATAGTGTGTTCAAATTCATAGAATCGTCTAGTCATAGAGGCAAACCATGTTGATTCAGCCATGGTTCTTGAGTGTTTGTGGGTTCAGGTGGTTTTAACAGCTTCAAGAGTTGTGTTGTATCAATTTCATATGGGTCTCGTGAGTCTTGTAGTATGCTATCATCATAGTTGAGCTGACTCGTTCCTGTATCCATTGTTTTTTTCATTTTTTCTGACTGATTATTTGATTCTGCTTTTTCTTTTCCTTTTTCAGTTTTCAATGGATTATAATGTTGAAGACCCCAAGTGTCTGCATTTATTTCGTTGACAATTTTTTCAATTTCTTTTTCTTTATCCATACTGCGATGCAAGGTGTGAAGAAGTTATCCCGCAATTTCCATTTGTTTTTTCCTTAGCTGGCTTCCTTCTGGAATTCTCTCTGAATATCTGGATGTTTCGCCAAGGCTTTGTATAGGTCTTCCATGATACAGCTGTTCTCATTGATAATTGAATGCATAATCATACTCTGGATTACTTACTATGTAAAATCTTTGAAGATGTTTTTCCTATTACATCTGAATGTCTTTTGCAATTATTTGAGTGTAATCTACTGGCAAAACTTCTCATGGAGCGTCATCTTTATAGTGTGGCCAAGTCCGTGGAGGAATAGTTCGATTTATTTTCTCAATTTTCCTTTGAAATTCTCGAAATTCATGAGCATAACGTTCCCAATTTTGATGTATGTTAAATGGTTGAACTGTATATTCCTTGACATGAGAGAATGAGCATAAACTCCAGCTTCAGTGAAATATTCCTATCTTTGAAAAATTAAAGTCGCATAAACATTCTTTTTAGAAGTTCTAAAATCTTTAAATTTCAAAGAGAATGCTCGAAACATTTTTATCCAATGAGAAATTGGATAGAACCACTCAAAAAACTTTTTTGCAAAATGATCAATGGTTCTGAACGGAAAATCCAAGCTCATTGGATAAAATGTATCCAGTGCATCTTAAATATTAAAAGAAATTTCAATTTGCCAAAGCTCCAAAAGATACCATAAAAAACAAAGTGTTTCTTTTGAAAATTTTAAGGCAACATGGTTTGGATCAAACTGGATAAGTGTAAAGAACGGATAGTCTAGATGAAATCATAGACTACCGAGTGTTTCAATTTCAGTCTGTCTAATCACAATAGATTGGTATTTGAACATGAGATTTTTGGATCTGGATTTGAGAGTTTTGTTTCTGATAAACTCATTTATTTCGGGAGGAAAAGGATCTATGCCTGGGAAAGGACCTTTTAATTGAATTTTTCATTCCATGCCATGTAGACAGGTGTTGATCTACAAGAAAGATATATAACATTATTATTATTATTATTATTATTATTATTATTATCAAATTTCGATTAGAGCACCATGCCAGCAAACAAATCAAAAACATTGTTCAAGACTGCTTGCAAGAAAATGTAATCATGTCTGGTTCAGGATGGTTGGCGATCAAAGAGTAATGTCATGTATCATTACTGAGGATGATTAGTCAATATGACAGTAGAGTCATTGTTATATCGTTCAATAATATAATTCAATATTTTTGGATAATAAACCTATTATTCCATCGCTCTCTCGACTGATGCTAATAATATTATTTCAGTCAGAATTATGTTCGTTAGCTAATTTATGTTCCAAGTGACGATTATCATGCAACCCAATCAATGTCGAGAGGTCGCACCAGAAATGTATGAGGTTCAACAAAAGGACGTGCAATAAAAGCTGTGGGATTTATTGGACCACGCGACCAATCTGGACATGCGTTATGTCTTTTGGCCCAATTTGACGCAAAAACATTTTCGGACAAAATTAAAAAAATCAGGAAAAATCACATCAAAGTTTTACGAAACAAATAAAAAATGTGGTGAAAAAAATAAAATCCCCCGTTGACTCGAATTATTCGTTCCTGAAGGAAACCAATACCAGACTAATAGAATAAAAAGCAATGACTAGATCAATCAAAATTGACGTTTAAGGCAAACAAAAGGCATTTAAAGTGAGGAAAGAGTAATTCAAAATGCGGTTAAAAAATAAAAGAAAAAGAATAACAGAAAGATGCATCTTGACATTCTTAAGCACAAGAAGAATATAACATATCTAGAAAAACTAAAAACCTAACAATTGGAGTTCATAAATCAAATGAGCGAAAAAATGAATTCGAGGAAAAATGATTTTCGAATAAGATGTGTCGAACATAAGCGTGTAGAGATTTGAATCTTATTTAAAGTAACATGTGAATAAAAGTCACTTAAATGTCACGTAGGTCGATCATCCGTCTAGAGAACATTACTCTAAATTTAGTGTGCCATGTAATTGTGCAATAATGTGTTTGTAACAATTAAGAAATTAATTTGTTTGGTAAAATTGTAGTTAAATTGGTGTTTAAAGATAAATGACTTATGAGAAGGGTACACGAGTAATTAAAAGGATTAGATGATGGTCATAGAAACATATGTAGCGTAAATCTCTACAAAAAATGCGACCTTGACAGTTTAATATATTGAAATCAAAGTTGTTGTATCATCTAAAATAAGCTCGATTTGCAACCAAAGAGCTTGTAATGGATCTTGATCGGTCAAGCAATTCTTATATATCCCGGATCACCATACAACTCGGAGTGCACAAAAACTATTAATGATAAATCAATCAACTCAAATGTATGTGGTACTTGATAAAGAGAAACGTGTATTTATATATACCTAAAAGAAGATTTTCACTCTTACCAAGGACACAATCCTAAAGCATAGAGATGTTGGTGCACTATCAAATTATTGACTTTAGAACTCATATTTCGTCGTGAAACATCGATGAATAATTTGAGTTTGGAGAGACACATCCATTTGTACACACTGACATGCACACTCTCTTCATCTCAAACGTTGAACACTTTGTTTAAAATCCTTTCTTGACTTTCTTGACGTTGAACACAAAAACGTTGAACAACATTAATTTTTACAAGCAAAAGTGGAGAAATTGACATTATATGAAAAGGAAATCAGCATTGTTTGTTAACAAAAAAACAAAATTAAATATCTGAGAATATGGGTTGCTGGGCTGGTGCCCAACCCTTCCATGTTTTATTGTTCATGGAAATTATCCATCAATCCCAATTCCCACAGCAGCTGGGCACATCACATGCAAAAATTGTGCAACGGAAAGATCTGCCCATCAATAAAGCATGTCCAACGTAATAAAAGCAGTTGTTTTTTCTGAAGAAAAGGGTAATGTCCAGAATAGATATTTTGCCAGAAAGATTTGGGTCCCATGTCATTGCAGTACATGCCGCGTGCATTCAAGGCAATGGCTGGCATCTACACCAACCGCCCTTTTGCTCACGGGTTGTTAAGTACTTACATTACATTCTTTCCATTAATAAAGAGAGAAAAGATTGCGTCTTTAGCTTCAAATTCAAGATTTTGAGTGTGGTTCAGTAAGAAGTTTAACGATGCTGAAAAGAATTGAAGTCTTTTTATTTTTATTTGTTGTTGTACATTTGGGATTTTTGTTCGGATTTGTTCATGGGGTTGCAATGGGAGATAGGAAGGGGGTGAAAAAACCCTTAACAGACAAGGATGTATGGAGCCCAAGACAGGAAAGAGCAGAGAGTTCGAGGCCTCTTGAGGTCAGGTTTAATGAGCCGGCAAAGCACTGGACTGATGCTTTCCCCATCGGTAATGGCCGCTTCGGTGCTATGGTTTGGGGTGGTGTTGCCACTGAAACTCTCAATCTCAATGGTAAATTCACTTATTCATATACCATTCCACAAAATGCACATTCGGTACGTAGTATTTGACGGGTTTCGTGGGATTGGTCGATTTTGATGCCTACTGTTTGTTTCTTAGGAACCAAGAAGTTGTATTATAAGGACTTATTTTTGTTTCTGATTCAGTAAAACCAGCCATATTATGATACTGGTGAAATTAAGAAGTTAATGATTAATTTGTTTAACTTACTGGGAACTTATAATATTTTGTGTGATGTTTCTGAAACTAGAATGTATTATATAACAATCCTCATGCTAATCTTTCATTATTGGTCAGTAGGGAGTTTTTAAAAAACTGGGGTCCCAATAGAGAACGGAGTTCGAATATTTTGTAAATTTTCTTGCACTGTTTTCCATGGCAACTAGACATGAATATAATGATTTGTACTCAATTTCAAAGTTCTTAGGGATGCAAAATTGATGGCTGAAGTTTGAAATTGAACTAATATTAGTATCGACAAGGGTTTGAATGATCTAATTGAGGGTTCTTCTTTTCTCATTGGAACAGAGGACACACTTTGGACTGGAACTCCTGGTTATTATACAGACCCTGGTGTTCCCCCCATACTATCTGAGGTCAGAAAACTTGTTGATGATGGACAATATGCAGCGGCTACCACAGCAGCGCTCAACTTGTCGGGAGATCCATCCAATGTAAGCTGCTTGGTTACTTTCCTATTTGGTTTCTCAGTTTTAGAATTGCAGATAGATGTGGATTTTTTATGGCTTTAATGGCTATTGAGGCTGTGCTTCATGAAAACTTTTCGCTTTGAAATGGTCAATGCAAAACCCAGTTTATAAATTGAAGACACCCTCCAAAGTTGTAAAGAGAAATTTTTGGGTAGCAACATCACAAAACTGCATTCTTGAACAGTAGTTGTTCTATACGAGTAAAAATTAAAAGAACAAAAATTTAGCCCATCTGTGTTAAAAAAACTTCTTCCCTGGAAGTGGGCATGGTGAAAACTGATAACTCTTGATGCATTTGCCTGGATTTATGTGACTGGATCTCGTTTTGATGTTTAGGCATTATTAACTAGAATCAATACTTTAAATTATTATGTTGTCTTATTATACTGTTTATTTAGAGCCTGTTTCAGCCCCATTTTTTTTTTCCCCCAAAAATGCATTTGGAAATAGTGATTTGATAGAGAATGTTTGGTTAAGAAATAAGAAAAAATTTTAGATTTGCACATAATATTATTTTATGGAAAATTGTGCAGTTGAAAATAAGAGAGAAAAATGTATTTTGGAAATAATGGGGACCAAATAAGGGCTTAATATAAAATTGAATTGAATTAGGGCGCTAATCTCCTTTATTTAACGGTAGGATGTGATTAAATGATATGGACCGCATTCTTGATTCTGTTTTGAACTCATTTGATCATTACAATGAGAGGGAATATGCTGTTTGGGAAAAGGTTCGATCAGTATCATTAACTGTTGATATTTCTTGTTGAAATAAAGGTTTACCAGCTCCTGGGTGATATGAAGCTAGAGTTTGATGATTCTAATGCCACTTATGATAAAGGAACGTATAAAAGAGTGCTGGATTTAGACACCGCAACGGTAAAAGTTGAGTATTCTGCTAATGAAGTAGAATATCTGAGGGAATATTTTGCCTCAAATCCAGATCAAGTGATTGCGATGAAGATTTCTGGAAATAAACTGGCACGTTTAAATTTTACTGTATATTTAGACAGCAAATTGCATCACCATTCATATGTAAACGACAAAAATCAAATTATTATGGACGGAAGTTGTCGTGGCAGAAGGATTCCACCGAAAGTCTATGGAAATGACAATCCTATACTAAGAAGCCCGCCAAAATCTAATGAAAGCAGCAATCCTCAAGGAATTCAATATTCAGCTGTTTTGGATTTGCAGATTAGTAATGGTGCAGGTGCAGTGCGTGTTCTTGATGGCCGAAAGCTTCGAGTCGAGGGTTGCAACTCGGCCATTATCCTTCTTGTTGCATCATCATCATTTGATGGGCCTTTTACCAAACCCGTGGATTCAAAAAAGGATCCTAAATCTTCTTCAATAAGTAAAATGGATTCAGTTAAAAGATTTTCATATGCTGATCTTTATGCACGCCACATTGATGACTACCAAGCTCTTTTCCATCGCGTCTCACTGCAGCTTTCAAAGAGCTCCAAGAATGTGACAGTAAATCCTTTAAGAGAAAACACAGATGAGACCATCTCCACTGCTCAAAGAGTCAAGTCTTTTAAAATCAATGAAGATCCCTCTTTGGTCGAGCTTCTATTCCAGTATGGTCGATATTTGCTAATTTCTTGTTCACGTGCTGGGACTCAGGTGGCAAATCTGCAGGGGATCTGGAACAAGGACATAGAGCCAGCATGGGAGTATGTTTTTCTTCCGTCCTCTAAAATTTATTGTAAAACTTTTCTTTTTTATTCTTTACCCATGTTTGTTGAAATTTTCTTTGATGCTCATAAATTTGACCTTCTGTTTTCTCCCTTTTGCAGTGGTGCTCAACACTTAAATATCAATCTTCAAATGAACTATTGGCCTTCTCTCCCTTGCAATCTCAATGAATGCCAAGAGCCATTGTTTGACTATATCTCATCTCTGTCAATTAATGGAAAGAAAACTGCTGAGGTAAGACTTCCTTTCTGTTTTGGCATGTGTTCATCTTAAATCTTTATATATCTAGAGTTTTAAAATAGACACATGCGTAGAAAAAATAAAAAAGAATGCCCTAATGTAGCAAAAGTAAACTATGACTTGTAGACAATTAGATTGTAAAATCAAGATTCAGTGCACATGCAAGAAGTTAATTTATTTTGATAGGTAATTTTGGAAGATTTTATGTGAAACAGAGAATTGATACCAACCCACCCCCCCNTAGAAATTCAATTTTAAATATGTTTTTACTTTTAAAAAAAAAAAAAAAAAAATTGAAAATTTCTTGATCCTTACCTTCCTTGATTTTACTTGTGCTTTCTACCTCATTATCAGCTTCAACATGTTAACTTCCACATGTAATCAAATAAAAGAAATGATTAATGATACATTTCTCTCTGATTTTCACTAAATCACATTTGGTAAGGAATCCACAATTTGGATGGTAACCCAATGGATACTTTGTCAATGATGTTACCAATGGCTCTGGCAGAGTGAGGGATGAAATGAACTTTTTTCTAGGGTCTGTTGATTACATTTATAGATGATGAGTCTATAAGAGACCAATTTCTAATTTGTAATATTTTATGATGGTTAAGATATGTGAAAACAGATATGCAAATTGTTTTTGTTCTTTCTGAAAACAATTTACTCGGCACAAAACTTACTTGACCATGTTTGTTATGCAGTAGAGGACAGCACTGCACATGTCTACAGAACAAATTTTTCTTTCTAAATCTTGTACAGTGCTGTCCAATCAAGTTTATCAAATGTGTCAACATTGTTTATGTACAGCCTTCATGTATTTAGTTGCAGTATGTTACAGGTGAACTATAATGCAAGCGGTTGGGTTGCACATCAAGTGTCTGATTTATGGGCAAAAACTTCTCCGGATCGTGGTCAGGCCGTATGGGCTTTATGGCAGATGGGTGGAGCATGGCTCTGTACGCATTTATGGGAGCATTACACCTATACAATGGACAAGGTAAGCATACGTCAGTGTTTATAATTTCTGCCCATACATGGTCAAAAGCATTGTTTAATCTTGATTAATGAACTCTTTCATATACGAAAATCAAAATGTATTATCGGATATTAATGGAAAATGTATTGGAAATTTTAGGATGTGGTGGCATGGAATTGATTGAATTTTTGGCTAGATATTTGATCACTTTTATGAAATTATACAATCAAGTATATCTTTTCTTCCTTGTTAGGTGGAAGAAAAGTATCGTAATATTTACACTTAAACTAGTTTCTAATTCGACTAAGCCAAGGTGGGATTGACTGAAAACCTGTTGGACAAAATCTCATTACTTCTAAACAGATAGGTGTAGTTGGATTAGATACGAACATATTCTTGAAGATTCCAGAAGGCCAAGAGATGATCCTAAAATTATAATTAAAATCATGTTGTCTTTGTGGATGGTGTTACTTTGTATTCAGTCTTTATTGATGTTGAGTTGATAGGATAATTTTACCATGCCTTCTAATGGAACAATTTGGCTTCTTGTCTGTAATTCATAAACTTTCATACTCAAATTCAAATAGACTTGTTGATACCTTCTTTACATAAGCGTACTGTTGTGTGAACTAAGAAAGTATCCTAAGCATGCTGCAAATACGTAAATTGTTGATTTGACTTCTGGTATTTTAATGCACAAGTAGGATTTTCTAAAAAATAAAGCATATTCCTTGATGGAAAGCTGTGCTTCTTTTCTATTGGACTGGTTGATTGAAGGCCGTGGAGGATTTCTTGAAACGAATCCCTCAACCTCCCCAGAGCATACTTTTATTGCTCCTGATGGTAAGACTGCAAGCGTGAGCTACTCATCAACTATGGACATGGCAATCATTAATGAAGTTTTCTCTTCCATTGTTTCTGCTGCGGAGGTAGATCTATCCCCTGAATTAATGAATTTTATTTTCTTTTATTCATCTTACTTTGTTGAGTGTTAATATAATGTTGAATTGAAATATAGGTTTTGGGGAAAAAGGAAGATGCTCTGATTGCAAGAGTTCGCAAAGCTCAACCACGTCTTTATCCAACCAAAATAGCGAGGGATGGTTCCATCATGGAGTGGGTGAGTTTAGAACTTCAAATCATTTCATAGTTTTTCTTCTATTTCTCTTAGCTCGAATGCTTTCAAGAGGGTTGCAATGAGAAATTATATACTCCTTGTCCTCTTTGTCGTGACAGGTGCAAGACTTTGAGGATCCTGAGGTGCATCATAGGCATGTATCGCACCTATTTGGCCTATTCCCGGGGCACTCAATTACTCTCGAAAAAACTCCCGACCTATGTAAAGCAGCAGACTATACCCTATATAAAAGAGGTTCGTATTTTAAATGAGCTTGAAGTTACACATTTGTGTATTCAATTCCCCTACCGGGTCATGTCATCTATTACAATTTCTTTTTTCTTGTGGAGAGCTGTGTATTATTCTTAGCTTTCCTAAGCAAAGATGTTGGATTTCTTGCTAATTTTGATGTCTTGAATGAAACAGGAGAAGACGGTCCAGGGTGGTCGACTGTGTGGAAAGCTGCTCTGTGGGCACGTCTTCATGATAGCAATCATGCATATCAGATGATCAAGCATCTGTTTGATTTGGTGGATCCTGATCGTGAAAGTGACTATGAAGGAGGACTTTATAGTAACCTATTTACAGCCCATCCCCCTTTCCAGATTGATGCGAACTTTGGGTAAGCATCAACTGTCTCTACGGATATTAAACTTCAACGAAGTCCAGGGAAGGTCTGCATTTAATACTTCGTGAAATGCTAATTTTGCAATTTATGGTGCCAGATTTTCCGCAGCAGTTGCAGAAATGCTAGTTCAGAGCACGGTGAAAGACTTGTACTTGCTCCCTTCTCATCCGCAGGATAAATGGGCAAATGGTTGCGTTAAAGGCTTGAAAGCACGGGGCGGTGTTACAGTTAGCATTTGCTGGAGTGAAGGAGAACTTGATGAATTTGGGCTGTGGTCAGAAAATCAAAATACTGTCAAGAGTTTACATTATAGAGGAATTACTGCAACAGTAAAAATATCATCTGCCATAGTTTACACTTTTGATAAGCAGTTAAAATGTGTCATGACTCAGTCTCTGTATTGATTGCAATTTCCTCATAAAATAAAGTCACATTGTTACTTTTTACCACGTTTCTTCAATTAATGTGAATGACTATCATCATGTAAAAGGATTATTTACATTTCCTTGTTAATATCAAAGTATATTTGATGGCGACGTACATGAAACATGATTATACATTTTTATTGATAAATGACAATGAACTTCTTTGGATCAATGACAATGAACTCTCGACGGATGGACGGGGCTTGAACCCGAAGCTTCAGCCATTTAAATCAACTAAATTACATTTCCAGGGGAATAAAGGATCTAACAGAAAATTTGATTTTATTTATTTATTTATTTTTCATCTTCCTATGAGGTATCACGGAGAAAATTTAACGCAGAGTTCTATTAATGGATTGTTGAATGTACTAGACTACTAGTACAAATATCCATTTTCAATTTTAAAAACTACGGGCCTTTTTCAAATGTATTGAATTCCGTTTGACAACCATTAAATGGAATGACTTTAGGAGAATTTGTAATTAAAAAATATGGAAAAATTTAGGTCCATGTGTAAAATATTTTATCGCGTAAATGTATGTTTGAAAATAAGTAATAAAAAAGTTTGAAAATAATGATTATTAAACTGGGGCTAGTTGTACGCAATTGGTGTAGTGCATTAAGTTTGACACTTCGAATGTTGTCAAAATTCATGCTCTTAATTGTTTAAAAGTATTGTGAATCAATGTGTAAATAAATGTCACATCATAAGAATGTCAAATTTAATGTACATGTAATATGATTGAAACTATCCAAAGAGTTGGGAAAGGAAAAAGCTTGTTGACCAGACTTAAAAACAGGTGTTTAAAATAATTGAGAATTTGTAGGCGGGAAACTCATTTCACGTGACCACTTTCATATTTCTTCCCGCTTTCCTATTTTCTCTTATCATCCACTTTCCTCTTTCGTTCTCAATTATTTCTACTTGCCTCTTTTGTCCGAGAATAAGCCCACCGTCGTTTTCAACATGTAGAGCTTGTTTGTGAGAGATTTTTAGAGGAAGAATTGATTTTGAATGGTAATATGATGGGAAATGTGTGGTTANTTTTGAATGGTGATATGATGGGAAATGTGTGGTTAAAAAAGAAAAAAAAATTATTGATGTGATGGAAAATATTATTTTATTGAAAAATGTGTGGTTGAAAATGAGAATTGATTTACTGTAGAAAAATCTAATCCCTCCCAAATAGGGCCTTAACCTTTTTATATCAGCTTACCAGCCAATGAAGCAGGCGTTGTCGAAATGCGACCCAAAAAGAAGCTCCCATTTCGTCGCAAATGGCAACCCATTTCATCTTTCGTCAGAAATGGTGCGCTCAGAATTTAAGTCGACACCTTTCAAGTAAGGTTCGAGGAAACTCCGATCATAAGCGCAGTGCGTGCTTTGAAACTGTGTGGTGAAACTTTGCTTTGAAACCGTAACGATCGAAGATGGTTCGTGCTTTGAGTGCCGACACCATTCGAGTGACAAGGAGCGCCGACAAAGAGGGATTTTCTGGTTGTGAGCACAGATCAGGGTTTAGATTGTCTTTGGGGTTGATTTGTTTGGATTGGGTTCAGGAGAGAGATTCCACCTTTTGTTTTGTTTTTTATTTTCATTCTCGTTTATTTTAATCTGAAAAATCCACGTTGATCTTACCAAAAATTGTCACCTATCGAGTCCCGAGCTTGGTCACTGAGATTGAGCACGAACAAGATCTTCCGTACCTGAAACAAAGGCGTCGAGGTGTGTCCTCGTCGCCCCTCCGATGCTTAAGTCAGACAAGGATGTTGAGAAAATATATTGCTGAATATATGTGTGAAAAAC